CTTCGCCCTTGTTTGAGCCACATTATTTTTTTTTATTTTCATTTTCAATCACACATTTTTCAATAAAATAATATTTTTCATCACATCAATAACTTTTCCTTCTTTTTCAATCACATATTTCTCATCACATCACTTCAAAAAATGCACTCTCTTATTTTTAATGTGCACCAAATGGGCTCAATGGGGATTTTCGTGAGAACAGCCAAGTAGTATAAATTCAGTTATTGTTTGAGCCACATTAAAATTTTCATTTTCATTTTCATTCTCATTCTTCTATTCATTTTTAACCACGAATTCTTCAATAAAATAATATTTTTCATCGTATCAATAATTTTTCCTTCTTTTTCAATCATATATTCTCCATCAATCTACTATTTTAAAATACATTCTTCCAAAATAACGTGACTCAAACACACCAACTCTGTTATTTAAAGATTAACACTGTTTGGAGATTTGTGATCATGTTAAACAAGTCTAGAAACTCGACTTTTAGGGTAATAAAGGTAACTTGTGGTGCGCGACACTTGGCCCACATCAATTGTTGTTAAGAAAAGTTTGTGCTGCCTAGCACTTTGGCATGTTGGGTTGGAGTGAACGTCCCTTTTCAAGCAAAAACAATGGTTATGATTTGAATGGATCTATTCCTTTGTACTTAGATGCCTATTCTAGGCTAGTGATAGGTTCTAATATTGAAGAAATTACGAGATAGCTATTTATATATAAATTTAATAATAGTTGCTGTTACCGTTGCAATCTTTGAGTGCTAATTAATTGAACTGCATAAACTTTGCATCTAATAATTCCCTGTGTTAATTGATAAATATACACGGGATTATATTTGTTCTGCGGATCAAATTGGATTGAATTTACTTTTTTCCCCCTTTGAAACTAGAGCTAGTTACTCTATGGTTGTAAGCTTGTAATTTTTTTCGATCTTAGTCCTGGAATCAAGGTCTTATATCTCTTCCCAAACTGCTGAATTGATGGCTGAATCTTAGCTTCCAGATTTGGCCCCTGTTTGGTCCCCGTTATCCAAAAATTTTATTCTTCTCTATCTTATTTTCAACCATGCAATCTTTCGTAAAATAATATTACACGTAAATCAAAAACCTCTTTCTTTTTCAACCATACATTCTCCAAAAAATATTATTCCAAAAATTATAATTTGAAATAATGGGGGCCCAACGATGGCTAAATAAGCGAGTAAAATACAGTTCGACTAAAAAATTAAGCCCTTGTTTGACAACCATTTTTTTGGGTAAAATAAAGTTTTGAATAGTGATTTTTTAGAGAATGTGTGGTTAAAAGGATAGGCAAAAGTTTTGAGTTTACGTGCAAAACATTTTATTATTTGAATATATGGTTGAAAATGAGTATGTATAAAAAATCGTTTTGAAATAATAATTGTCAAACAAGGATTATGTACTTCTTTTGGGTCCCCTATTTGAATTGTACATTTTCGAATAATTAATTTTATGACCACCACCTCCTCTTTTTCATATTTGGACCACATTACCATCAGATAGGATATAAAGTTATGATCCTTGTTTGTTTTGTGAATATATTTGGTTGTTTACACTTGCATAGCTTTTGTTCCAGTTCCCCCCTATATCAAACATCAAGTACATGTTCATTATTAAAGGGATAAAGCTTGGTTGGTTGCTAGTCCTTATCTCATTATTTGTTTTTTGTTGATCACGTGACAATTGTCCCAAACCCTATGGACACTGAATAGTCACGTGTAACAAAAACCTACTATACGTTTCACTAACCTCTCATTACTCATTAGAGTTTATTATTGTAGGATATTCAATTTTTTGGTATGTTTTTATTTTAAGTTCTCTAGATTTAATTCCAAGATTAGGGATAGAGGGTTTCAAATTCAGTTTGTTGGGAAGAAACTAACAAATGCTATGTGCATTATTTGGATCCTTATTTGTTTTTTTTTTTTTTCTTGTTTCTATTACGTATTGCTGGGTGTATCGTTGGGTGATTATTAGCTTGTAACGATTTTATCTCAACTCGTAGGAGGGGTGTGCACGTTTCGGTTTATGACAAGAACCCAGAGGAGCATGTCTGCCCTACTGTGGTACCAGATGATGTAATCGCATCCCAATCTGACAAATATTGGGCTCCTAACCCGCAGACTGGCGTGTTTGGTCCAGAAACTGATCACAACCCAACTGCAGGCTCCCCCTCAACTGCAAGTGTTGGTGAAGATTCAGTTCTGGAACAGAAGGCCTTTTTCCGCCCTCTTGAGGATTTGGATAAACCGCCCCATCCTTAGAATTGCAGAAACGGTTTGAGTTGTCCTACTATAAATAACTTCATCGTGGAGGCTATATTTGTTTGCTATATTATATACCTATATATAGTACTGTGGAATAATACTGCTTTAATGTCTATAATCTTGTGAGTAGCTGGCCTGAAGTCGCCTTTAACCTAAGGCTGTTGCTGCTAAGTTGTGTACGTACGGTTTGGATTTCATATCTGTACCATGCTTTGTGAAAGAATTTGGCTACTTTTATTTGTCCTTTTATTCTTCTGGAACATAGTGTTTATGGCTTCTCAATTTGTGAACAAGATAACTGTTACGTTAATTATGAAAATATCTGTTAGGTTGGAATGTTAACCCGAGTCGCACACATTGGACAGCGTCCTAAATTGATCGAGTTGAATGCTAATGATATGTCCTTCCCATTGATAGTGCCTAGGTTGAGGATGAATCGTTAATACAAGTGTTAAGACTTGGAATTCATCTTAAAATGTTAATCTTATTAAGAGGAGTAATTTAAACTCTTATAGTTAGTCTATATTTTTCATTTTTATTAGATATGAAATTTTATCTCTTAACATATGTTTCTACTAGATGGTAGCTCTTTTAAGCATATCAATTTTAAAATTTATGTTCTCTCGATTGAAATTCCATATTAAAGGTCAACCACATTAAGATGAGTAACTCAAATTCTTATAAGTTGGTTTATACTTTTCATATTCATTCTATGTGAAATATTATTCCCTAACAATAAAATCACAAATTGACAGTTATATATGAAAAATCGAGATCTGGTGATATAACATAGGGGATTCCAAAACTGTCTATTGAAGTTTTTTTTTTATTATTATTATTTTTATGATTGAAGGTGAAGTCTCATTACCCCCCACCCCACGAAAAATTTCAACACTCTCCATATCAAGGTCACGATCGATATCGTCACTAGCATTAGGAAATGGGCTCTACCATAGTCAAAAAAGAGTTAAATATTCCCACCTATCCATCGATCCATAAGATTTTCTTTTCTTAAAACAGGAAAAAAAAAAAAAAAAAAAAAAAAAGCAAAGTTGGGGGGGNAATATATATATATATATTCAACTCATTTCACTTTCTTACGACTCCAACTACTGTCCATGTATAATCCATACTATATCTATATCTCATTCGCTCCCCTAGCTTTTGTCTCTATTCCATGATTATAAGTTCATTCCATATCAGATCAGACCGGATTAGGGTTATATACATCATCAATGGGTCATTGACGATACATATATAGAAAGCCTATTTTTTTTCGTATTTACTAGCATTTAAGAAACGATAGTAAGAAGTGGAGGCAGGATGAATAAGTTATTCTCAATCGCCAATTGTCAGATGTCCCATTTTGTTGGCAACTTTATCATAAGATAATTAGATTGTGTAATGAAAGGCACCATGAGTTTGGCATCACTCTTGAGAAGGCTCTCTTCAGCCTCACAAAAAATACCCACATCTTATCAATGCGCCACATCCCCATTCCAAGGTCCCGACTCCCCCGTCTAAAAACTTGGACGTGCTGATTAGACTACATACTCGTTGAAGTGCCTAGAAGACACTTTTCTCAAGTAATTTAAAACTTCCATTTAATAAGTTTTGGTAGCATAAAAATCAACTTTAGAAATTTAAGTACGTACTCTACATATTCATCAATATGGAAAGTGGCACATAACTGAAAACAGACTTGCAAGTCATAGAGGATAAACTGTAAAAAGTCATCTATTAGTTTTGTCTTTTGGATAGCAAAAGCAGAGAAGGCAAACATAGGAATATATTCGTGCTTCTTGTCGTTATGAACAAGTGCAAAGAGCAAGGGAATCTAACAAGGCTTCTACTTTTATGGTACATCAAGTGGCGTAGAGAGCAACGAAAGCGTAATGAAAGTTATGCAACGAAAAAATAATCAGTGCAGATGCTTCTGATTATATATTCTGATTCGCATACATGTGAAAATCATCGAAGAGCAATATGCATTTCCACATAACATAGACATGTTAAGGATTCCCAACTTCACCGGAAGATATTTAAGACAGAAATAAATGGGAATCCGTCCATGAAATATACAGAAAAAGAGAGAGAGAGCTTAAAAACCATCATTTTGTGAAGCATCACCACAGAAGTCGCCTCTTGGAATGAGGAAATTGAACTCTTTCTGATGTGAATTAGTTTCTAGCCAAAGGTGTACATCCAGTTGAAGAATTGGAGTGGAATTAGCAAGTGATTAAACCGGAAAAAGTCTTGGGAGTTCAACTTACGAGTTAACATAATCTTGAACCAAATTTCATCGATATTTACAAAAGGCAAGCACCACGATACTTTACTAAAGGGTCAGGAGAAGGGATGCTATGAGAAATGAGCAGAATGGATGCCTTGACAAAGATTCTATGAGAACTTGCCTTGATGCGAATTAGAGCAATGGTTACAATATGTCATAAACTTTGACCATTACATTTTAGAGCTTTTACTGAAATCACGACGCTATTAGGGACCAACCTTCTTCACAAAGCTCGAGCATAAAGCAGCCACCTTGAAACTCCACACGGGAAGTGGCAATATCCGAGGAAAATAGCCAATTAGAGTATCATTCCAACTAAGCAGCCAAACTGTAAAATAAACATTCGATAAAATCAAATTCATCACAGCAAAAATTAGAATAAAATGAGTCAATAGGCATTTACGTCGTTCTTTATGAAGTTTTTGTCGAGAAAAAAAATTCTCCACAATTGCGGCACCATACCCCTAATGGACAGGCGTCTACGGTGCACCTTGCACCTCTTCCCACAGTAACTCGTACATACCACCTTCAACACCAATCTTCACCCTCTGCCTTTTGAATTGGTTCCTCGGATGGACGGCTTCCCTGGCCGCAGTATCAAAGCAATCAACACAAATTCCCCTCTTTGTGATTTCCTTTTCAATGTTTTTGTTGATATACAAAAATAAGGCTCAATGAAATGAGGCCCAATGATTAAACGAGACCCAATTATTAAGTAAGGTCTAATTATGTGGTCCAATAAAGGAAGCTCAGTTAAGAAAATTGAGGAATAGGCCCAAATGAGACCATTGTAAAATATAACGACAGCCCACGAGCAGAGGACTATCATCGCCCAAGCCTGCAGAACGCCCAAGATTTGAGAGAATGGAGTGTCTCATTGTCGCTCAGAACGACGGTCTCACTCTCGCCCAAGCCTTAGAGACGCCCAAAGTTTGAATGAATATAACGTTTTGTTCAGTTATTAAAGCAGTTATTGAGCAACCTTATCACACCCCACGATCCAAGAATCTCGGTTACAAGCGGTTAAACAACAAGACCAATAACAACAGTTGCTAACGACAGTTCCTTGACAAGTTAACCATCATGAAGAAAGTGGATAGTTATAGAGCGCCAAACAGTTTCCAAACAGTTCAACAAGAGAATGTGGGTAGTTATAGAGCGACAAGCACTTATACAAGAGAAAATCGACAAAGGAGTATACAAAGGAAAATAAGATATAGAAGGAAGGACCCCCGAATCAAATACTCTCAACAGAGAATATGTAATTTCAATTCATTTACTTTCTATTTGCAAACTTTCAATTTACTTTGTGTGCTTGTACCACTTGGATGCGTTTTGCTTCTTTTCAATTGTAATTTTCATAAATAAAGCACTCATTTTTGGGACTTGTCTCAAGAGGTTTGTTCCTTACGAAATAAAGCCCATGTTTGGCACACATTCTCTTTTTAATTCTCATTCTCTTTTTTCATTTCAACCACACAATCTCCAAATAAAATAATATTACACACAAATCTAAAATTTTTCGTCACTTTTCCACCACACATTCTCCCATCAATCACTATTCCAAAAATTTTCAACCCATTAAAATGGGTGTCAAACACTCCCAAACATTCATGTAAATAGACTCAACTGCACAATGCATGCCTTTACTTCCATCTTGCCCAAAGCTTTCCATCATCAATTCCACTTGCTTGCCAGCTCCGCTTTATCACACATCTTGTGGCTTCGTCACGTCTACGACGATCCCAAAACCATTTTCTCAGGTTTGCGGGCCATCAGTCTCCCCTAACCAATAACGCAACGTTTGGAGTGGACTCATTCTAATACCACATGTAACAATTCTTTGATCACAAAAGAGAAGATATAAGAGAAAAAATTACTCTATTTGTTATTGATTAGAATTTACAGAGAATTTTTAATCTCTTTAAAAACTTCTCGTTCTCTCTAAACTCACTCTTTCTAAACTTGATCTTTCTTTTTCTTTTGGGGGTGTATTTACAATAGAAGAAATGAGGCTCTATTTATAGTAAAAATCTGGCCATCCTTCATTAATTGCAGCCATTCACAAATGGATCATTATTTCGACTCACAATCAATTTCCACAAGTTATGAGTTATTTGTAGTGAAAAATGAGTTTTGAAAAAATGGAACTCAGATATGTGCTTATTGTATTTTGCTATAGCCATTCACAAATGGATCATTATTTCGACTCACAATCAATTTCCACAAGTAATGAGCTATTTGTGGATTTTTCTAATAAATTTGTCCACCATTGTTAGGAATTCTCTACATACTCATCTGTGTTGATTTCAGAATCTATTTGTATACAACAAACACATTTAGTTTAATAAATTTACACACAGTAGAATGNAAGAAGGTGAAAGCTTTTTATATTTCAGTTCACACTTTTACAATGAATGTGTTGTACACTTATATGCATAAATCTAAGCTATACATGGTAAATGGGAAACGTTAATGGAAATAGTGTGTATATGGAAATAACATATTTGGCTTGATTTATTGCATGATTTCTGGTGCGTGATTCCTTGATTGCTGTAATACTCCCCCTCAAGTTGGAGCATGGAGATCCGTAATGCCCAACTTGGACCGATAAAAGATAAATAATTCACGACCTAAGGGTTTAGTAAAGATATCGGCTTGTTGCTGAGATGTTGGAACATAGGAGGTAGTGATGAGACCAGAC